AAATAATCGATTAATTTTGATTTTAATTTTTATTAGGTTTCATTTAAAAAAGAAAAGAAAAAGAAAAAGAAAGCTGGGACCGTTAATATGATAAAAAGGAAAGAAAATTGAAGTGGTACGAGTAGGAGTGGGTTCGGTACGCCGATGCATCTTGGGAAATTTCTTCACAGCTTCACGTGCACGTCTCTGCCATCTTGGACTAGTAGACTTCGCGGGTGCAAATACTAATAATATGTTGGGTGATGTCGTCCTTGAAACACACAAATGCATTAGTAATGAAGAAATAAGGCAACAAGAATCAAGGTAAGAAAACACTTAACAATGGCTACTTTATGTCGAGCGCAGCGAGTCTTTTTCTTGCTCTCGAGTACAGTGTGTTGCCCAGTATCGTGCCATTTCAATTTGTAATCGCTATGGCGTTTGAATACTGACGTCAATTGTTTAAATTTTCTCCCTCAATAAAGCAAATTTATTTGTTAATACACTGATAAAATTATTTTATCGAAAACCTTTAATTACTGTTAGAATTAACCTTTTTTCCGAGACGACTTGAGTGCCCGGTTTCGTGCACTAAGGTGCGGGATTGCAGAATATACACAATATACACTTGTCTATTCCCAGTGTATATTGTGTATAATTATACATGGTGTCTATTGCCATAAATCCTTTGTAAATATACACAATATACACTTGTCTATTCCCAGTGTATATATGTATAATTATACATGGTGTCTATTGCCATAAATCTTTTGTAAACTATACACAATATACACTTGTCTATTCCCAGTGTATATTGTGTATAATTATACATGGTGTCTATTGCCATAAATCCTTTGGTATTTAAGTGTCTATATAGATATATATATATTGTATAAAGTGTCTATTAATTGTATAATTATACACAATAGACGTCTATTTACATCAAGTGTCTATTTGTGTCTAAAGTGTCTATTCTCTAAAAACGAAGTATCACACTAAGTGTCTATAGTGTATAAAGTGTCTATTATTGTATAATTATACACAATAGACATCTATTTACGTCAAGCGTCTATTTGTGTCTAAAGTGTCTATTTTCAAAAAACAAAGTATCACACTAAGTGTTTATAGTGTATAAAGTGACTGCAAAAATTCTTGCTGTGTTCAATCCAAAAGAAAAATTTGCAAAATGGTTTTGGTGCAAAAAGGTAGTGATTTCTCATGCATTTATGCTGAATACTATACAGATTGCGAGCATGAATCTACAGAAATGAAGCAAGGAAGTAGGTATACCTGGCCCTGGTGTATTCATTATGCTGGGATGGTAATGGTGTTCCATGTAGTCCTCCTGATATATCCCTACCAATGAGTTAGCTGGGTTACTACAGAACCTTCCTAATCCAGGTATGCTGGCTTCGGGTCTAGATCATCACTTAAGTAGTACTCCAAGGCATCTTTACTTGATATTGGGGGATCTCAAAGGAGGAGATAAACTAATCTATTCAATTCTTGAAGGTGCTAATATCCCTACCAATGAGCTAGCTGGGTTACTACAGAACCTTCCTAATCCAGGTATGCTGGCTTCATAGTCTTTAATTCGTTATATAAGATACACAGGAATTCCGGTCACTTCAATTTGACCCGTAGCCGGTGTAGCCATGTAGC